CTGTGACCCATCAGGGGAATTCCCCTCACTTCCTATCATGAGGACACAGCAGGAAGTGAGGAGATCTCTCCAAAGCAAGGAGATGTCCCTCTTAGGCAGTTGTCACTGGGGCAGGAGTCCCCATTGGAAGATTTTCCTTGGCGAAGGGAACCTTAAATAATACTGGACCACTTTTATTCTATTTCTTTTTGGAAGTCCGACTCCAGTTTTTGCATCGTCTTAAAGGAAATATCTCATTCATTTTATTAACATCAGTCTTCTGTCCTCCAGGGGATAAAGTACATGTAGTACTTTGTCCCATCTTCCTGTGTGCAGTGGAAGGCTAGATACATGGTTGGACAGGATGCCCTCCCTTCCCTATGGTTGTCCGACAACGCAGCTTGCAAGGAGATGGCTGCATTGATAGCTGGCTCTTACTTCCGGCTCCAAGCACTTGCCCAAGACAAGTGCCGGCAAGAGGGATGCACAGGGGAGGTGGTGGAGCAGCTTCCTGTCCCTCTGCATTCCTCTTGCCAGCAGTGACAAGAAAATATTTATTAAAAGTCAGTCATTAAACGTATATACAGTTAAAGTAATCAAAGAACTACAAAAAGAAGGCAGGAAAAGGGAGGGAAGGAAGAAGGGGAAAGGGAAGGAAATGAAAAGGGAAGAGAAAGGGAAAGAAAAGGGAAGGATAAAGGAAGTGAAAGGGAAAGAAAAGAGAAAGAGGAGGAAAAGATAAGTAAAGGGAAGGAAATGGGAAGGGAAGGATAAGGGAAGGGAGAAGGAAAGGAAGGAAAAGAAAAGGAAGGGAAAGGTAAGGAAGAGGAAAGAAAAGGAAAATAGAAAGGAAGGGGAATGGAAGGGAAAGAAAAGGAAGGAAAGGGAAGGAAAAGGTAGAGAAGGAAAGGAAGGGGAAAAAGAAAAGGAAAGGAAAATGGAAGGGGATGGGAAGGAAAAGGGATGGAATGGAAAGGGTAGAGAAGCAAAGAAAGAGGAAAGGGAAAGTGAAATAAAATGAAGAGGAAAGAAAAAGGAAAACAGAAGGGAAAGGGAATGGAAGAAAAATAAAAGAAAGGAAAGGGAAAGAAGGGAAAGGGTAGGGAAGGAAAGAAAAGGAAAATAGAACGGAAAGGGAATGGAAGGGAAAGAAAAGGAAGGAAAGGGAAGGAAAAGGTAGAGAAGGAAAGGAAGGGGGAAAAAGAAAAGGAAAGGAAAATGGAAGGGGAAGGGAAGGAAAAGGGAAGGAAGGGAAAGGGTAGAGAAGGAAAGAAAGAGGAAAGGGAAAGTGAAAGAAAATGAAGAGGAAAGAAAAAAGGAAAACAGAAGGGAAAGGGAAGGAAGGGAAAGGGTAGAGAAGGAAAGAAAGGGAAAGGGAAAGAAAAGGAAAGAAAGGGAAAAAAAAGGGAAAGGGAATGGAAGGAAAGAAAAGGAAGGGAAGGAAAGAAAGGGAAAAAGAAAGGGAGAGGAAAATGGAAGGGAAAGGGAAAGGAAAGGAAGGAGGAGAGGAGGAGGAAGGAAAGATGGAAGGAAGGAAGGAAGGAAGGAAGGAAGGAAGGAAGGAAAAGGAAAAAGATGGAATGAAGGAAGGATGCAAGGAAGGAAGGAGGAGAGGAGGATAAAGAAAAGAGGGAATAAGGAAGGAAGGAAGGAGGAGAGGAGAAGGAAGGAAAGGATGAAGAAGGAATGAAGGAAGGATGGAAGGAAGGAGGAAAGGAGGAGGAAGTAAAGGATGAAGGAAAGAAGGAATGAAGGAAGGATGGAAGGAGCGGGGAAAGAAGGAATGAAGGAAGGATGGAAGGAAGGAGGAAAGGAGGAGGAAGGAAAGGATGAAGGAAGGAAGGAAGGAAGGAGGAAAGGAGGAGGAAGGAAAGGAGGAAGGAAGGAAGGAAGGAGGGAAGGAAGGAAGGAAGGAAGGAAGGAAGGAAGGAAGGAAGGAAGGAAGGAAGAAAGGAAGGAAGCAATTGAGGGAGAATATAAAATTGAGATGACAATAGAGACATTTTGCTTCTAGGAGTGTATAATGACTGTCACGGAGTTAGCGTGTGTCACCCGGTATCTGACCCCTGTGGCTTTTCATTCTCTTCCTTCCTCCTCTACATCTCCATTGTGGATATATTTCAGGGGAACAAGAGTTTCATTTGATTTTCATTGCTGATTTAAAGGTCATTACATGAGCCATACAGACAGTGAAATATGTAGAGAAGTGATATCTTACTGCTAAGTGCAGACTTGTTGTATCTTCTGTCTGCTTCCTTCTGGCAAATAGCTTCTGAAAGTTCCCAGACGTCAGCTTCCACATATGCACACTAAATCCCAAACACCGTCCTTCTATTCAGAATTAAATATGCAAATTTCATTTCCTCCTTTCTCAGGAAAACCTTTATAAATTAATTTGTGTTACGTTTTACAACTTCCCATACCAGGAGCTGAGCGATTGCTTTGTGTCGGCCCTGTATTTTGGAAACTGTATGAATAAGTGGCTACATTTTTCTAATGATTTTTCACACATTTTCAGTAAATCATATTAAAAAGGATATAGACAAACATTTTATTTTATTGTGTATTTAAAACCTGACCATAAAAAGATTTTGCAGGAGTGGAAGACTTAAAAGCAGCTCTGGCTGTAATGCTCACTGCTTATATCTTTGCACCACTAGATGTCCTCAGACTTCCAGGTTGAATATTGCCCAGCATCATTCCACCCAGAAGACTGAGGACATCCTGTGAGTGCAGGACAAAGATAAAAAAGTGACAAAAAATACATCCGGTGGGGGGTACTGGAGTCCACTGGGGCATTCACCCAAAATTTTTTAGACCTACCACCACCAAGAATTGGTGAAAATAAAGTGAAAAACAAGAATTAAGTAAAGCAGCAAAAAAAAAAAAAAAAAAAAAGAGCATGTTATTGGTATGTTACAGGAAAGAAGAGGATAAAAAGTAAATATAGAAAAAAATGTTAGAAGAAAAAGATAAAAAAAAATAGTTAAAAGAAGAACATAAGAATTATAAATAAAGTTACAAGAAAAAGATAAAAATTACAAAAAAAGTTAAAATAAAAAAATAAAAAAAAAAGTAAAAATAAGAAAAGTTAAAAGAGAAAGATTGAAATTATAAAAAAGGGAAAATAAAAATCTAATAGAAGGAGATAAGAAAAAGTAAAAGAAAAATATTTAAAAAAAAAGTTAAAAGAAGAAAATAATTTATTTAAAAAAAGGGGGAAAAGTTCAAACAAAAGAGAAAATTAATTTAAAAAGCTAAAATATATTATGAAAAAAAAATTTAAAAGTTAAAATTTTATTATAGGATGATAAAAATGATAAAAAAATAAAGTAAAAGAAAAAGATTTAAAAGAAAAGTTAAAAGAAGAATATGAATTTTTTTTTTTAGAAAGCAAAACATTAAAATAAAAAGATAAAAAAAAAGCCAAAAGAAAAAGTTAAAAGTGAAATTTAATAGAAAAAGACACACTTTATAGAAATACGTTAAAACTTAATAGAATAAAATAATAATTATGCCAAAAAAAAGTAAAAAAAAAAAAAATATAATAGAAGAAAATACCAATTATTTAAAAATTTAAAAGATGAAAACGTAAATTATAAACATGAGCGTGCGCTTGAAATAGTCAATAACCGCTAGTGTATAATTCGCCGAGCTCTCCCAGTCTCTGTGCCGCGCTGTAACCTGCGGGAGTATCAGACGGCTGCCGCCTGTCCCTCACTGTGTCATCTGTCTAATTATTATTTAAATGATATATTCTAGAATTACTATAATCTCGTTATCTAATCACATTAATTACTCCCCAATTAGTGAGACCGATACTTGCAAGGCTATTTACACTGCGGCACCGGCACGGCGCCCGCGTGGGTGTGCGAGGACAGGATGTCATGGAGAGGGACAGTCGTGTGGGTGACCAAGATGCAACCGCTGCAAACAACAGATGCGCGATAAAAGAAAATCATCTTTGTGTACGCAAATAATATATATATATATACCTGAACAGATTATTAATAAAAAATAAATAAAAAATAAATAAATAAGAAAATTATATATATATATATATATATATATATATATATATGTATATATATATATATATATATATAATATATATATATATATATATTATATATTTTTTTTAAATTATATATATATACTATATATATATATATATATATATATATATATATACAGTATATATATATATAAATGTTATATTATTTTTTTATTAATATATATATATATATATATATATATATAATATTTTTTTATTATTTATTTATTTTAATATATATATTTTTTTAATATATATATATATATATATATATATATATATATATATATCAGGCTTAGATTAAAGAAGCTCTGTACTCGTCGAAAAATCATAAATTGTATTTTTTTCTTTTAATGCCAAGTATCTGATTTTGACCTGGTGTTAGGCTCTTGTGGTCCCTTGCAGAGCTCAGACTGGGAGAAGGAGAAGCAGCATAAAGAGCCAATCAGTTGCGCTGCAGTGCTTATATGCTAACAGGAGGAGAGAGCAGAGTGACAGTGATGAGCTCAGCAGTGTGCCGCTTCTCCTTTTGCTGTCCAATCACAGGCTGGGGGAGGGACAGGATCTGTAAGTGTTACTGCAGCAGAAAAAAAAAAATCAGCTCTCCTGCCATGCTAGCTAGAGCTGTTCTGTGTTTCAGAGCTGTATGAATTTCAGGACAGGATGGACAAAAATACAGATCTTTTGGCAAGCGAAAGAACTGCCTTATATGAGTTTCAAACATGTAATAATCTGTCCACCTGGCTGGAGGATGTCTAGCTTCATTTAGCCCTTTTTTCCCCAGCCAGACTGTCCCTGGCCCACCCCTTTCGATCATTGGATGTCAGTTCTTACAGTCATAGAGGCTGAGCATCTCACGTGGGTTTGCAGGCAAATACAATCTGCCTAGAAATGTTCCAAACTGACACAGGGTGCTGTGATGCTTTCAGGAAGCTATGTGCAGCACCCTGTAGGCCCCTCCCACCAGACACAATCTGCCTGCATTGCACAGAGAAGCGCAGAGACCGGCCTATGAAGACTTCTGTGCATTTGCATAACTCCTCCCAGGGGCTGGCCCACTTCTTTCATCAGGGCTGATGACTCATGAGAGGGGTACTGAGGACAGGGTGCTGTGAAGCTTTCAGGAACAGGGGCGGACTGACAACTCATGGGGCCCCCGGGCAATAGGGGATCATGGGGCTCCTGTGTCCTTGCCCACACTCAAAGCAAAAAAGGTACAAGGGGTATTTCATGGGGGCCCCCTACTGACCCCGGACCCTCGGGCAGTGCCCGAGTGCTCAAATGGTCAGTCCGCCCTTGTTCAGGAAGCTATGTACAGAGGTCTGAACATTTGCATAACTCCTCCCAGGGGCTGGCTTACTTCTTTCATCAGGGCTGATGACTCTTGAGAGGAGTACTGAGGCAGGGTGCTGTGATGCTTTCAGGAAGCTATGTACAGCATCCTGTAAGCCCCTCCCACCAGACAAAATCTGCCTGCATTGCATAGGGAAGCACAGAGACCGGCCTATGAAGACGTCTGAACATTTGCATAACTCCTCCCAGGGGCTGACCCGCTTCTTTCATCAGGGCTGATCAGGGGTGGACTGACAACTCATGGGGCCCCCGGGCAATGGGGATCATGGGCCCCTGTGTCCTTGCCCAAACTCAAAAAAAGCCTATGAAAAAGGTAAGGTACCAGGGTCATCTCATGGGGCCCCCTACTGACCCCGGGCCCTCGGGCAGTGCCCGAGTTTCCAAATGGTCAGTCCGCCCCTGGGGCTGATGACTTTTAAGAGGAGTACTGAGGCATGGTGCTGTGATGCTTTCAGGATGCTATGTACAGCATCCTGTAGGTAAAAAATCCCATCAGACATGATCTGCCTGCATTGCATAGAGAAGTGCATAGACCCAGCGATTAAACCACTAAATGAAGGTATAAAGGAAAATGGAGAAATTATGAGGGGAGCAATGGAGGAACCATGGATGGCCGCTTTAAACAGTATGTTTAGCTGATTACCTCCAGCTCAGCCGTAACACAAAGGACATCTATCCATCTATATTTCTGTGACAACCCCTAATGCCCATTAACAGCCACCCAAGTGAATAGGACTTAATGGGCGCTAATGGAGATCACACCTCGGCAAATATCCCGGGGACGAAGGACGGAGAGAAAAAGATCAAAATGAGATGTATCGGCGCAATTCTCAGCAAACGATGATTAGATGAGCATGACTAGGCCCACCTCCTCCATTTCTGCAGAGCCCTGACCTTTAAGAGCGGAAATTTTGTTTTGTTTTGGAAAAAAAAAATCTCCCCCCTCGTAGCGCCCAAAATGTGATCTTACGCTCCCGTTATTAAGCGGTGTGGATTAGGCCGGTGATAAGGGCTCATCATGGTGACATTTAACACTTCATTATCCATGTGCCGGCCCAGAGCTGTGCGCAGCCATGTGTGCAAATCCGCTATATCGCCCATCTGCATGAAAAATGAGCGTGAGATGTACATTCTATTAATAGAAGACTAGAATGATGAGGGGAAGAGGAGCCCCGGAGGGAGGTAAAAAACAACTGGTTAAATAGGAATCATCATCCGATCAGCTAGTAGTAGGTGTGCCAAACTGTACTGAAAGGTGAGAAAGTCGAATGGGAGCAAATGGATAAGAAATCAATAGATAAATGAATAAACATCTAAAAGGAGGAACCGTCACTGCAAACCGCATATCAAGACGAACAGTAGATTCTCAAGATTATTATTATTATTATTATTATATTATTTTATACAGGATTTATATATATTATTATTATTATTATTAGTATACAGGATTTATATATTATTATTATACAGGATTTATATATATTATTATTATTATTTACATACATATTATTATACATGATTTATATATTATATTTTATTATACAGGATTTATATATATTATTATTATTATACAGGATTTACATACATATTATTATTATTATTATTATTATTATTATTATAATACAGGATTTATATTATTATTATTATACAGGATTTATATATATTATTATTATTATACAGGATTTACATATTATTATTATTATTATTATTATTATACAGGATTTATATTTATTATTATTATTATTATTATACAGGATTTTATATAATATTATAATATTATTATTATTATTATACAGGATTTACAGGATTTATAAATTATTATTATTATTATTATTATTATAAGACAGGATTTATATTATTATTATTATTATTATTATTATACAGGATTTACATATTATTATTATTATTATTATTATAAGACAGGATTTATATATTATTATTATTATTATTATACAGGATTTATATATTATTATTATTATTATTTATTATTATTATAATACAGGATTTATATATTATTATTATTATTATAATACAGGATTATATATTATTATTATACAGGATTTTATATTATTATTATTATTATTATTATTATAATACAGGATTTATATTTTAATAATATTATTTAATACAGGATTATTATTATTATTATACAGGATTTATATATTATTATTATTATTATTATTTTATAATACTGGATATTATATATTATTATTTATTATTATTATTATTATAATACAATACAGGATTATATATTATTATTATTATTATTATTATACAGGATTTATATATTATTAATATTATTACAGGATTTTATTATTATTATTATATTATTATTATTATTAATACAGGATTTTTATTATATTTATATATATTATTATTATTATTATTATACAGGATTTATTATATTATTATTATTATTATTATTATACAGGATTTATATATTATTATTATTATACAGGATTTTTATTATTATTTTACAGGATTTATTATTATTATACAGGATTTATGGCGCCAACAGTTTGCTCAGCGCTTTACAATATAACGGGAGACAATACAGCAACAATACAGTTCAATACAAGAGGGTTAGGAGGGCCCTGATCCTTGGAGCTTACAATCTAAGAATGTAGGCGCACATTATTCAGGTGATATCCATTTTATACCAATATTTGAAATTGAATTCCTTTACAAAACCAAGAGTATACAATGGAAATTTTAATAGTTCAAACAGTTCCATTCCAGCTGTTTCCCACTTATATAATTACATAGTTATGCCCCGTACACACGATGAGAATATTGGACAAACGATTGGATGTTTTTTTTCGCCTGCTAGTCTCACATTGAAAGGGAAAAGGTTACTAAAGATGCAAAAATTCTCTGAAAGAAAAGAATTTCAAAAGCGATGTCATGTTTTGCGTTGTATTTGTATTGTATTTTCAGACGACTACTGTACTGATTAAACAAAAATCATACGATCTGGTATCGTACAATAAAATTTTTTGCGCTTGCCCCTTCGGAAAATTGCATGAATTGTCGTGAACGGCTCTTAAAAGCTGTGTACTAACGATCCGATTATTGGACGATCGGTCCTCGTAGGAAAATTTTGATACGGCTTTCTTATAGTGTATACGAGGCATTAGTCTGGCTGAAAAAAGAAAAAAGTCCATCCAGATCAGCCATAAAAAAAAAAAAAAAAACAAAAAAAAAGTTATAATCCTACACCCACAGTTGATCCAGAGGAAGGCAAAAAACCCAGCAAAGCACGATCCAATTTGCTCCTGCAGGGAAAAAAAAGTCCTTCCTGATCCCCCGAGAGGCAATCAGATATTCCCTGGATCAACTTCACCTATAAATGTTATATCCAGTTATATTCTGTGTATCCAAGAAAGAATCCAGGACTTTTTTAAAGCAATCCACTGAGCTGGCCAGAACCAGGGAGAGTTAGTGTTGGGGTTACAGGGAGGGTTAGTGCTGAGGTTACAGGGAAGATTAGTGTTGGGGTTATGGGGAGGGTTAGTGTTGGGGTTACAGGGAGGGTTAGCATTGGGGTTACAGGGAGGGTTAGTGCTGAGGTTACAGGGAGGGTTAGCGTTGGGGTTACAGGGAGGGATAGTGTTGGGGTTATAGGGAGGGATAGTGTTGGGGTTACAGGGAGGGATAGTGTTGGGGTTACAGGGAGGGATAGTGTTGAGGTTACAGGGAGGGATAGTGTTGGGGTTACAGGGAGGGATAGTGTTGGGGTTACAGGGAGGGTTAGCGTTGGGGTTACAGGGAGGGATAGTGTTGGGGTTACAGGGAGGGATAGTGTTGAGGTTACAGGGAGGGATAGTGTTGGGGTTACAGGGAGGGATAGTGTTGGGTTACATGGAAGGTTAATGTTGGGGTTACAGGGAGAGTTAGTGTTGAGGTTACAGGGAGGGTTAGTGTTGGGGTTACAGGGAGGGTTAGTGTTGAAGTTACAGGGAAGGTTAGTGTTGGGGTTACATGGAAGGTTAATGTTGGGGTTACAGGGAGGGTTAGTGTTGGGGTTACAGGGAGGGTTAGTGTTGAAGTTACAGGGAGGGTTAATGCTGAGGTTACAGGGAGGGATAGAGTTGGGGTTACAGGGAGGGTTAGTGTTGAAGTTACAGGGAGGGTTAGTGTTGGGGTTACAGGGAGGGTTAGTGTTGAAGTTACAGGGAGGGTTAGTGTTGGGGTTACAGGGAGGGTTAGTGTTGGGGTTACAGGGAGGGTTAGTGTTGAAGTTACAGGGAGGGTTAGTGTTGGGGTTACAGGGAGGGATAGTGTTGGGGTTACGGGGAGGGTTAGTGTTGGGGTTACAGGGAGGGTTAGTGTTGGGGTTACAGGGAAGGTTAACGTTGGGGTTAGATGGAGGGTTAGTTTTGGGGTTACAGGGAGGGTTAGTGTTGGGATTACAGGGAGGGTTAGTGTTGGGGTTACAGGGAAGGTTAGTGTTGGGGTTACGGGGAGGGTTAGTGTTGGGGTTATAAGAAGATTTTTGGGTTTAAAGAAACCAATTTTTTTTTTTTGCAATATCTCAATAAAAATTCTGAGGTTTGCAACATTCCCTGAGGTGTGCTTCATACCAATACCAGCTGTCATTTCTTTCACCGTCTTTCCATATACTGCAGATGGTTGCAGGTTGTATGGTGTGTGATGGGTATACAACTTTAGGTTGACAAGGACAGTTAGTGTTGGGGTTACAAGGAAGGTTAGTGTTGAGGTTACATGGAGGGCTAGTGTAAGGCTTAACACAAAAGAGAGAATTCTGTGATTGGAAGAGAGCTGGTCATGTGACTTTGACGGGTTTTCCTCTCAAAATGCCAGTCACATTTTTTTGCAGCACTGGTTGGTCATTGCCAGCGTAAACAATGCATCCACGAATATGTCATTAATCATCAGGTTTTCTCCCCGTGTTTCATTTCGCAGTATCACAATGTGTAAAACAAACCTGGTGGTGTATCCACGGCTTTACAATGCTCAAAAATACAGATCGCCCTCCCGTGAGCGTCTCCTCCTGTACGAGCGTGATATACGCTGGCTGGCGTTCAGTGGACCAGATGGCGCTGGGATGGCTTTCTTGATTACATTCCCATGGCAGAGCAAGGATGAAATTCAAGTTTTGAAACAATGGGCAATCTATCGGTCAGAGTATTATCTTGGCTCCATCGTCTATCCTCATTAAACATTTTACATCATCAAAAGTAAAATGATTCCCCCTTTTCCTGGGCTTTTTTTTTTTTTTTGCTGACTGCACCAACTCTATCTCTGGAGGCTTCTTCGCTTGCTGAACACCATCCACCTCGTCTTCAGCTCATCATACTTCATTTACATTTTTGTGACAATAAATACATTGGAGTCTGTGGGATTTACGGGAGACGCCAGACATGTCAAAATCATGAAGAAAGGGCTGGAGATTTAATAATAGGTGTGGAAAAAGGCAAAATCATACAAGGCTGAAGATAATAAACTGACAGAACATCCAGCTTCAAAAAATGTGAAGAGCAGTCACAAGTAATGAGGGAGACCAATCACTGAGCTATTATTACTATCCAGAAAACACTGCGAATGTGGTTCAAGAGTCTTGAGACTGATAGCATGGTGGAGAGCCATGTGCTGGTTGTTCATGCCTGGACATGGAAGACATTCCCCCAAGCACACTGGGATCCTTTGAGTCTGGGGGCTCCTCAGGGTACTTGTGGACTTAGGCCTATGCTATGGCTCAGCCCTTTGTGTGAGCTCACCCCTTTAGAGGCACTGGGCCTGGTCTGAGTAATATTATCCAGCTTCACTTCAACATCCTTGCCAGAGCTTGCTCCTCAGCCATTTCCCATGATGAACCCTTGGCCGCTCCCTACCAAACGATCTATACCAGGGTTCTCCAAACCTATTAAACAAAGGGCCAGTTTACTGTCCATCAGACGTTTGGGAGGCCGGACTGTGGCCAGTGGGAGAAGAAAGGGTCTTATCTTTGGTATTCTGGGAGGAATAGTGCCCCATTGTTGGTTTAAGTGGAAGAAATAGTGCTCCATCATTGGTGTAAGCGGGTGGAATAGTGTCTCATCTTCGACGAGGAATAGTGCTCCACCATTGGTGTCAGTGGGGGAGGCCCCATCATTGGTGTCAGTGGGAGGAATAGTGCCCCATCATTGGTGTCAGCGGGTGGAATAGTGTCCCATCTTCGATGAGGAATAGTGCCCCATCATTGGAGTCAGTGGGAGGAATAGTGTTCCATCATTGATATCAGTGGGAGGAATAGTGTTCCATCATTGGTATCAGTGGGAGGAACAGTGTTCCATCATTGGTATTAGTGGGAGGTATAGAGTTCCATCATTGGTATCAGTGGGAGGAATAGTGCCCTATCATTGGTGTCAATGGAAGGAATAGTGCTCCATCATTGGTGTCAGTGGAAGGAATAGTGCTCCATCATTGGTGTCAGTGGAAGCAATAGTGCCCCATCATTAGTATCAGTGGGAGGAATAGTGCCCCAATGTTGCTGTCGGTGGAAGGAAAAGTGCCCCTGCATTGGTGTCAGCAGAAGGAATAATGCCCTATTGCTGGTCTCAGTGGGAGGAATAGTGCCCCATTATTCCTATCAGTGGGAAGAATAGTGCCCCATCATTGATATTACTGGAGGAACAGTGTCCCATCATTGGTGTCAGTGGAAGGAATAGCACCCCATCATTCCTATCAGTGGGAGGAAAAGTACCCCATCATTGATATCAGTGGGAACAATAATGCCTCTTCATTGGTATCAGCAGAAAAAATAATGCACCATCATTGGGGTCAGTAGGAAGAATAATGTCTTGTTGTTGGTGCCCCAAAGGCTGGATAAAGGCAAGCAAAGTGCCCACACCTGGCCCCTTGGCCACAGTTGGAGACCACTGATCTATACTCTAGTTCTCTACCCAATAACTCTCTCAGACCCTTCCAATCACTGACATCTTACATATGGGACCTCTAGTGGCTCCTACTGCACTTACATTGCCTATTAATCCAAGAAGTCCTCTGTCATCATCTTGTGGGCAAAAAGGGAAGTTGCATTGGTGCACTTACCCTACAAGATCTCAGTGTAGTGGTGAAGCATTCATTGCCAGCACCCAAGGGGCCCTCCTAGGTAGGGATGACCTCAGGCAGGACACAAGTCTGAACCCGACGTTAATCACAGGCAGCGGAGGCATTCCCCGCAGAGCAGTCGTACGTATGCAAGGAGCATGCTGAGCGGAAGGGAATGCCTCCACTTCCTATGATCATCTGACACTGTGGCTCCACCCACACTTTGCCACCAGCTTAGTGTTGAAATCTTTTGGTGCAATGCAGAGGCGGACTGACAACTCATGGGGCCCCCAGGCAATAGGGGATCATGGGGCCCCTGTGTCCTTGCCCAAACTCAAAAAAGCCTATAAAAAAGGTACCAGGGGCATCTCATGGGGCCCCCTACTGACCCGGGCCCTCGGGCAGTGCCCGAGTTTCCAAATGGTCAGTCCGCCCCTGGTGCAAGGCTATCTGTTGAAGCACTCAGCCCCACATTACAGTCCACCGCCAAGCCTGCAAATCTTCAAATTCCTTTTTCTTTGCTGCTATGACTTCACTTCCTTTAAGAAGGTGGTCCTCCATGGTCCCATTGTATGTAGGAAGGTAGCCATTCTTTTTTGCTCATTCCCAAGATGGACTATAGGCTACGGCAGCTGTCTCCAAACTGAGGCCCTGGGGCCAGATTCAGCCCTTTGCTTGCCTTTATCCGGCCCTTGGGGCACTATTCCTCCCACTGATTCGAGACACTATTCTGCCAACTGACACAACAATGGAGCACCGTTTCTCCAACTGACACCAATAATGGAGCACTATTCCTCCCAATGACACCAAGGCCAAATGTGGCAATGTTTTCTCCTACCGATGCTAGGAACATTTCCACTCCTTCTGGCCACAGGCCAGCTCCCCTAAAGTCTGAAGGACAATAAACTGGCCCAGGGGTGCCCATGCGTTAAGAAGGCCCTGACCATGTGCTGGTCTGCATGGTCATGGCCTGGACTCCTCAACCCATACATATGTGGACATGGGATAGTTCCTCTAAGCACAATGTGGTCCTCTGGGTCTGGGGCCCCTTGGAGTACTTGCCCTTCTCATTAGCTGCTGAAAGGGTTTAATATTTAGGGGTGAGGGAGCCAATACTGGGAAAGGATCATCCAGCTCCCAAGGCAAGGATCCAGAACTGTGCCCCCCTCCCTCCCTGTTAATACATGCCTTAGACTGGGTGTACCACTCTGTGTCCATTCTCTGCCTCCAGGGCCAGTGCTAGATTCTTTTGCGCCCTAGGCAAGAGCAGCTACTTGCACCCCCCCCCCCCCCTTTCACCTTTACTTCTACTTCACCCCTCCTAGCACACATCCTCTTTCCCCTCAAATTTTTCTCCCTAGCACAAATCCTCTCCCCCAAATCCCCCCTCCTAGCATAAATGCCCTCCAATCCCACCTCCTAGCACAACCCCCTCCAAATTACCCTACCTAGCACAAATCCTTTCTCCTCACCCATATCCCCTATGCTAGCACAAATCCCCCCTCCTAGCACAACCCCTTCTAATCCCCCTTCCTAGCACAAACCACCCATCCCCCAATCCTAGCACAAATTTCCTTTCAATCCCCTCTCCCAGCACAAATCCCTCCAATCCTCCCTTCTAGCACAACCCCCCCCCCCCCCCCCACACACACACACACACACACACACACACACAATCCCCTTTCATAGCACAAATTTCCCCATTCCCAAAATCCCCCCTCCTAGCACAAATCCCCCCCCATCCTCCCTTCTAGCACAATTTCCCCCCAATCTCTTTGCCTAACACAATTCCCCCAGTCCCCCTTCTAGCACAAATCCCCTCCTAACACAAATTCCCCTCAATCCCCTCTCCTAGCACAAATTTCCCCAGTCCCCAATTCCCCCTCCTAGCACAAATCCACAACCCCCCCCCAATCCTCCCTTCTTAGCACAATCCCCCCCAATCCCCTTTCCTAGCACAAATTCCCCCAGTCCCCCTTCTAGCACAAATCTCCCCTCATAGCACAAATCCCCCACAATCCTCCCTTCTGGCACAATCCCCCCCCAATCCCCTTTCTTAGCACAAATTCCCCCAGTCCCCCTTCTAGTCCCTCCTAATACAAATTCCCCACAAATCCCCCTCCTAGCACAAATCCCCCCAAATCCTCCCTTTTAGCACAACCCCCCCCCCAATCCCCTTTCCTAATATATTTTGAAATATATTGAATACGGCCAAAATTGTAGTATTTCAAATATATGTAACTATATTTGGGAAGAATATTTTTAAAATATATTTTTCTTCTTTGTGGGTAGCAGCAGCACTGGCTGCACCAGGGGCGGACTGACCATTTGGAAACACGGGCACTGCCCGAGGGCCCAGGGTCAGTAGGGGGCCCCATGAGATGCCCCTGGTACCTTTTTCATAGGCTTTTTTGAGTTTGGGCAAGGACACAGGGGCCCCATGATCCCCTATTGCCCGGGGGCCCCATGATTTGTCAGTCCGCCCCTGGGCTGCACCCAGAGCACTGGAAGTTCTGCCTTCAGAAGAGTTGTATCTGGTTCCTTCTCCTCATGAAAGCTATTTATTTGTAGAGCCCATCCGATCCAGCCATCCATAAGTATCCAGAGAAGGGAGTTCCTTAAAGCAGGCATCTACACACGTCCATCCCTCAAAGGGATCTCTGGCCAACTGGATCCTGTATTTTCCTGTGATCTCCTGACAGCACCACCATACCTAGAGGCAGGATTATCCTGGACCAGGATCATATCCAACTCCTAAAGGGGACCTCTACAGATTCATTTAATGTGTATATACATTACGCATCTGGTGAGTGCGTAGTTTTACCACACTATATGGAGCACCATTACTGGATTCTACTGCTATTTCGCACCCAGATCTGCACAGACTGTCACTTTATAATTTGATTGATTCTTGGCATATAATTTACTTATTTATATGTTTACGGACATTATTTATATATTCATGATTTTAGCGCGGCACCTTTTTATTTAGTGTTATTTCCTGAGGGTTTTATATTGGTTACCTTTGGTGCAGGGGCGGACTGACAACTCATGGGGCTACCTCCCCCCCGGGAAATAGGGGATCATGGGGCCCCTGTGTCCTTACCCAAACTAAAAAAAAGCCTATAAAAAAGGTACCAGGGGCATCTCATGGGGCCCCCTACTGACCCCGGGCCCTCGGGCAGTGCCCGAGTTTCCAAATGGTCATTCCACCGGTGCCTCCAAGCCACATGCCCAGAGCTTTTCCCAATGAAGTTGCCACTATTCCCAGCCACCCCCCCCCCCCCCCCCCCAGGATAGATTTAAGTAAAGCATCAGAAAGCCGTCAGTGTGTCATTTCCCAACAGAGCTATGAATCACTGCAGAAAAAAAAATCATGTCTACTCCGGGATTCTGACTTCAGGTTTCTCCGGTGACACCTAACTGGATTATTATGCTAATCTCCCGCTCATTAGCATAGTAGCTCCATACTCATTAATTCTCACTTGCCAAGTACTGGAGGTTACGGAACGCACGATTTCCTGGCTGCCCTGTAGCCATTCGCTGTGGACTCTAATTCCTAGTGATATAGTCGCAGGTCTAGGCAGTCCGGCCATTGCTGCGATTTCACACAATATACAAATCATTTGGAGGATTAAAGTGGACAGAACATCAGATGTTTTTTTTTTTCTTTTCATGTTAAAGGCATGCATGCTATGTAAGGTGTAATTAGCGCTCGCGGAGATCACAGCGCTCCCCCTGACATCCGATTTTCTCTACAGAAGGATCATCCGGGGTCGCCATCTATTTTCTAGACGCTGGCTCAGAGATGAAGCAATTACGAAAATGTTGGTTCCCGTGGCGGGGTTCACAAATTGCAGACACGGATCAGCCCCCTGCTGCTGCCACTCTCCTTGGGACTCAGCGCAAAGTTACAATGTGCAGTCTAAGTGATCACTGAGGAGATTGAGAGAATGCTTTCTCCTGTGTGAAACAGATTGATGGTATCATCTCAGCCTAGGAAAAGTCACTAAGGGGGGACTCTAATGTAAGAGAGACTCTGATGGGCTCAATGATGTAAGGAGGACTCTGATATAAGTGAGGACTATAATGTAAGGGAGACTCTAATGTAAGGGAGACTGTGATGGGGACCCTAATGTAAGGGGGGCTCTCATTTAAGGGGGACTCTGATGGGGGACCCTGATGTAAGGGGGACTCTAATGTAAGGGAGACTTTGACGGGGACCCTGATGTAAGGGGGACTATAATGTAAAGGAGACTGTGATGGGGACCCTAATGTAAGGGGGACTCTAATGTAAGGGAGACTGTGATGGGGACCCTAATGTAAGGGGGACTCTAATGTAAGGGGGACTCTGATGGGGACTCTTATATAAGGGGGGACAATAATGAAAGGGGAACTCTGATGTGAGGGGGGACTGTAGTGTAAGGGAGACTGTGATGGGGACCCTGATGTAAGGTGGCCTCAAATGCAAGGGGGGCGCTGATGGGGATCCTGATGTAAGGGGGGACGCTAATGTAAGGGAGAGTCTGATGGGGACCCTGATGTTAGGGGGACTCAAATGTAAGGGGGGTGCTGATGGGGATCCTGAAGTAATGGGTGACTCTAATATGAGGGAGACTGTGATGGGGGCTCTGATGTAAATGGGACTCTGCAGGGGACCCTGATGTAAGTAAGGACTCTAATGTAAGGGATACTCTGAGGACCCTGATGTAAGGAGGACTCTGATATAAGGGGGACTATGGACTTTGTAAATCTATAATGTAACCCTCATACAGAAAAAGTTGCAGAGTCCCGGCCTGAATCACCGAAATGGGCAGAAATGGTTCCTCTCAAATGCCTTTCCATTTCATTTCCAGCAGCCTGTGGGAGATTGTACTCTACGGAAGCTGCAGAACCCAGCAGATCATCGCATTATATCAGATTTATATCAGCAAAGCAAAATATCTTGGCTGTGCACATCTCCTCCAATCAATCTCCTCCCATCAATCTCCTCCCATCAATCTCCTCCCATCAATATCTCCTCCCATCAATCTCCTCCCATCAATAACTCCTCCCATCAATCTCCTCCCATAAATCTCCTCCCATCAATATCTCCTCCCATCAATCTCCTCCCATCAATATGTCCTCCCATCAATCTCCTCCCACCAATCTCCTCCCATCAATATCTCCTCCCATCAATCTCCTCCCATCAATAACTCCTCCCATCAATCTCCTCCCATCAATCTCCTCCCATCAATATCTCCTCCCATTAATCTCCTCCCATCAATATCTCCTCCCATCAATCTCCTCCCATCAATCTCCTCCCATCAATCTCCTTCCATCAATATCTCCTCCCATCAATCTCCTCCCATCAATATCCTCCCATCAATATCTCCTCCCAT